AGTACGGCCGGCTGCTCGCCCGGGTACGGGCAGGGGGAAGCGGCTCTTTCGCTTTCTGATTGAAAGCGTGCTGTTGCTGCGCCGCCGGTCTTGAAAATGTCCCCATCACAACTAACTCCGTCTGACTGTAACTGTATGTCTGGGGCTATATGGTGCAAGTAAGACAGTAGGTAATGGCGTGAAGACGCTTGCAGGTTAGTTAGGTTAATTTCTGGTCACTGTCATAAAAAGGGCCTAGGAACACGGAGGAGAAGAGCAGTCCTCAAAAGCTGGTTCAAAGTCGGAAAAAATTTTTTGAGCTCTTTCAGGTGAAAGGAAGCTGATGTTTTGCCTTCCTGGCACCTAAGGGCCAAAAGCATGCTGGGTTTCATTAGAGCCTTTCTGGTACGGGGACTGTATCAGGTGTGAAGAGGACCGTGGTTAAGGAGAGCTCAACAACAGGAGAAGGGCTAGATTACCATTAAAAACTCTTTTCTTTTTTGAGGCCAGGTGTATGTAGGCCAAAATGATGCCGCTTTCCTTCTGATGCAGTTATGCTAAATTTACCTGACCCCTTCTTTTTTCCCTCTCCATTAGAAGTGTGGAGACTTAGCCCCAGCTGTGTGAAGTGTTTTCTAAAAGGAACCTTGAAGCAGTAGACGCAAAAGTCAGTCAGGTCTAAAGACCTTCATGATACATTTTTGAAGCTGGCTGTTTTGTGAGGCTGGTTTGTTTAGAAAAACTACCTCCACACGAGATCTTACCACTATATATCGTCGTAACGTACAAAGGAGCCTTTTGATTCTGACAGCGCCAAGCTATTTTTTGATCTGGTTAGTAACATTGTATGAGTCAAGTTTCATACAGAACAAAAAGACACTCTTTGCTTCGAGCTATAATTTGATTCTAGTCAAGGTTGGAGAAAGACTTGCATTTTAATATAGAAGGGAAGAATGTTCATTGTATGCAAATATTAAGATACCAACTCCTGTGGGGGTTGGGTTGTTTCTTTCCTTCTTCTAATGTAGCAATTTCTGATGGCTAACAAGTTGGATACAGCAATGTGGATTTCCCGCTTGTTCACAGTTTACTGCTCAGCTTTATTTGTCCTGCCTCTTCTAGGGTATGTATTGCAATATTGTAAAATAGCATTAAAAATTTACAAAGTAACTACACTCCCTTTTCATAGAGTTGTTTTTCATGTAAGGGTAGATTTCTATTGTTCAGCTTACTTGGATGCTTTTTGTCAGAACAGATTTTTAGATTGGTTTAAAACACTTTTAGGTGTGTTTGGAAAATGCATTGAGCAACTGTAAAGTAGTGGCAAATGCATGTTTTTATGTGTGGTTATGGAGTAATATATTGAGTTGTTTTACCTTTGGCACCTGCCGTAAGTCAGTGTTACTAGTTTTTGAGTTGTAGTTTGGTAATAGCGCTTATGGATAATAGAAATACTTCGGGTATTGTGCAATTGTGATGCAATTCTCAAGGGTGGAAGACTTCTGAGCAGGGGCTTGGTTCATATGGTAACGTTTCCTCTGATGATTTGCAGGTTGCATGAAGCAGCAAGCTTTTATCAGCGTGCCTTGCTGGCAAATGCTCTTACTAGTGCCCTCCGACTACACCAAAGGCTACCGCACTTTCAGCTTAGCAGGGCGTTTCTGGCCCAGGCTTTGCTGGAGGACAGCTGCCACTACCTGTTGTACTCTCTTATCTTTGTGAATTCCTACCCTGTTACAAGTATCCTTTACTTGTGTCATCCTGGTAATGTTTTTAAATATCTTAAAACTTCATTCTTTTCATCACCTGGGCCATGATTTGAAAAACTAGTTTAAAGTAGAATACGTTTGCTATTCATAGAACGTACTCCCTGTAAAATAGGAGAGGCTTATGTTGATTGATCCACGTTCAGGTTAACCACCTCTAGAACTAGTCTCTGGCTAATTAAATTTTCTTTTCCTGAGACTTAATTTCAATGGATTTTATGACCAGCCTCAGTTACCAACTTTGAGAAGTTGGTAACTTTCATTTGTTACCAGTGCAGGTCCTCACTGTAAGTAGGACATATATCATGTAGAGAGACAGTTATTCAGTAGTAGCTTTTTCAGATAAGTTATTAAACAGATAAAGTCTGTATGCAAAAAAGACTTACTCCTGTGGCTTGTCAAAGGTGACATATTTTTTGGCACTTTTCTTGGTGCCAGTTTGTATGTATGGTTAATGTCCTACTCTTAAAATGTCTCTAGCAGAGGAATGTCTATGTTCTTGTTCTCTAAAATCTGAATGGCTGGCAACTGCATGTTCTTTGGTGAAGAAATGCATTTTGTAGTATCTCTTAATAAAAAAATACTATGACTACATGTATATGATAGATTTTAAGAAGTAATCT